TAAAGTAAAGCAAAGTAACGAACACTGTGCAAGCCCGCGTGGGTGTAGAACACGTTTGTAACATTCCATCTCACACATTTCCAGACACCTTGACAACAAACCAGGACAAATGTGTAAACAAACATTTTTGTCTTCGAGTTAGACCTAAACTAGAAAAATTATTACTAAAAGAACATTCCAGACCGATACTTAATAAAGATGAAACATATTTAAACTATTTATATTTATTAGAACAGTGTTGTGCAAGTAAACTATCGCTCGGATCAACAACTCGAATCACAAACAAACTACGGTTACTAAGCGTGCCCTCGTACAAACACAATCAAGATTAGAACAATTTGACATTGTATTAAAGGGAGTTTGACTTTTGGTCGCGGGTCGCGGGTCGCGGGTAAACGGTGCGGGTGCGGGTGCGGGTAAATGGTGCGGGTGCGGGTAAACGGTGCGGGTGCGGGTAAGGGGTGCGGGTGCGGGTTATAAAAGGTATACACCATGATAAGAAACATATCTATTTATTTATTATTTTATAACTGAATCAGTATCATTAAGTTTAAATAAGTAAATAAGTAGTTTTTAACGTGTTTCAGAGTGCAAACGTGTCCACTCTCTGAACATGAACATGTCTATTTTCCCACTCACAAAACACATACAATTTGAGTAAAAGTTTTAAAAGTTTTCTTGTAGCCTTCAACATAAAGTTTCATGGCATACTGGGACATGAAATTCACTGTTAAASAAACAATAACACTATAAAAAATATCATATCTATTTATAAAATATCATCTATTTTGCTTGAATCAAAATCGGTTCAGTATGTGATAATCCCATCCACTTGAAAACAAAAACTGGAGGMAAAGCTGAAAGATTCGGGGGAGGGGACGTCTCAACATAGCCTTATGAACTTAATTTAACTGCAGTAAGATGTGATTTCATTAAACGTAGTATATTTTAAAAACTTCCGGCTACTAGCATAGAGTGAAGGCGTGTAACCCGAAAAATAGAAATTGCTTGTAACAGTTAAATAGACACAGAAGAAAACAGTAAATGGGAATTAGGGTCTACTAAATCGTATTAGTCTAAATATCTATTTCAATCTCGAGTTTTAGACTTCACTCCATCCTTTCCGTGCGAATTAAAATTAATCTATGTACTCTAGGTAATTACAACTTGCAAACCACTAGCTTGCACAAAAGCCCATTGTGACGTATCGAGGGAATGATGCATTTCTATTGATATATTAACTTGCCCATTAAAGAAGGGATTTTTTCGTTTAACGTGAGCTGAATTTAAATGGTAATACGTGTTTGTAAAATCCGCAGCATAAACAAAATTACCAGTACGTTCATCCCTCCGCATAAGCCGGCGGTCAACATGCTTTATGGCAATGTTTTTTGGTGATGAACGATGGCACTGAGCGAATTCCACACCGCATCCGTAACATTTTCTAACGTTTCCAGGGAGGACTACTATTTCATATGGATGAGGCGAAAGCCCTGAATGCCATCCCCAAATATGCTGTGATTGATTTGGCACCTGTYGATCAAACGGAATCTGTGGAGGACGTTGCAGTTGGCCTGAATTAACAGTAGATGGTAGATGCCAATCGTGGTTTACGTAGTGAGAACTATGCGTGTTGTGCTGGGAAGTTACTGAAGGAGTTACTGGATTAAATGTTAATGGCTGACAGCTGTTTTGATACTGATTCAGTTATAAATAATAAATAAATAGATATGTTTCTTATCACGGTGTATACCTTTTATAACCCGCACCCGCACCCGCACCACTTACCCGCACCCGCACCGTTTACCCGCACCCGCNACTTCCGATTAATTACCGAAAATGAACGACCGGTCAACGGAAATACAACACTTTTCAATCCCTGATATCTCGAAAAATAAAAATCTTCCAGTTTTCTCGCTTCACGTATGTATTGAACATAGCAAGAACTTCTTTTTCCAAGTGTTAAAAAATCATCGAATTTTCCGTTGCATTTGACCTTTAAGGCCTGGTTCACAAAGGCTATTTTGAAAAAAGTCTTTTCGTGCATAACTGATTGACACAAATTTTCATTTAATGTTCCTGACAGTTTAATGTGTTCAATACTGACATCAAGTGGTCAAGTGACCTTAAGGCTAGAAATTTAACATTTTTAAAATGCACTCGTGAGTTTAAAGTGCACATGACACCATTAGAAATTCACTCTCATCCAAAAGAGAAAATACTGCTAAGTTCATCTGTGAAGAAAGAAATTGATTTCAAATTGTATTTTGTAAGTTATGGGCGATTAAAACTTAGAAAATGCAAATGAAGTGACGTCTACTAAGGAATGATTTAATATACAAAATCATGAAAGAGAACGTTATTCTTTTTGTTACATTGGAAAAAGCATTTTCAGCTCTCAATTATTACTATGATTGATGATTTGTGCTCTTCAACCAAGAACAGCATAGCGCAAACAATGTAAAAAGTCTGGACCAATTCCTTAGTTGACGTCACTTCATTTGCATTTTCAATTTTCAAATGTCTATAACACAGAAAATACAATTCAAAATCTATTTCTTTTTTCGCAGAAGTAGTTGGCAGCGTGTAAACTTTCTGATGAAAGTGTTTTTCTAAAAGGTGTCATGTGCACTTTAAGCTCATGACCACTTTTTCCTCAAATTTAAAAAACTTGACTGTATTTAGATCTGAATAAAATGTGAGCAAAAAAGCAAAAGAACTATTATTTTAAATTCTCTAAATTCAAACCGAAACACAATCATTTTACCGCCTGACATGATGAACATGAGCAATATTCATAATCCAAAAACCRAAAGGGAACTTTAAACTGTAATAGAGCGATACAATACACCCCCACAATTTTATAYCAAACACACAACGTGGCTAATTGAACAGGAAGTCCATCCTATAAATAATATTATTGGACTAGACTTGAGTGAGAAGGTTGCTAAAAATAAATGTACAACAGCCACATCCTGTCAGACTAATGCATTATTCTGTAAGTCATATTTCCTGAGGCTGTTTTGTGAATGACACATCATAAGAAGATAAGTGCAAGGATTGTATTTAGACAATCTTATTTATAGAACTGAAGATTGAGCATGACAGCGAGGTACAGCATAAACATGTCCATGATTTTAGAGACATGAGGATGTTTGTGTGGATATTCTACAGTTGATACAGTGATCTTAATATCTCCAAAGTACATAAATTCTCAGCGTCTAAGGCCGATAATATCACCCAAATAACATTGTATGACACACTAGTTTTGAACCAGAATAGATTGTTRAAAATTTAATTTTCTATTGTTTGAAAAGGTTGAGAACACTTTTTAGCTCATTTTAATGACGATAACATAATTTTTAGGCTATTATTACTAAACACATCAAAATGCTTTGCCGATATTGTTCTCACCATTKATACAAAATCAATCTGTTATACTTTCTATGCACAAAATAACAACCTGCATTTTATTTTGATATTCAATGCTATTCAGTGACAGCTCTAGGTTGAGAGAAGTTTCAGGAAAACTGCTGTTTATGTCCTTTCTTTGTGGTTACCATGGAAACACTGATTCATAAAAACATTTCCTCAAATGCTTATAAATGCTGTAAAACTCGGAATTAATCTTAAGAGTAAAAGTTCAAGGTTATCTGGAAGATTGTCTATAAGTGTGGATCAAATGACAAAAGTAAATTGGATAACTCTTACAGAATAACTGAAGGAGAGACCTAAGACATAAGGATTGTACTATAAATGAGCCTACATTTATTTCTCCACAATTCTGTACACTCAATTCATAATATTAAACATTGTTCACATATTATAAAAAAATTACTCATATTGTCAACATTGGTTCTTACTCTAATAAAAGATCAACTAAAATTTCAGTGTTTTTTTTTATCTTTTTGTTTATTTTTTATCGTTTTACTTAAAAGAACTGCTCAGTGCTGTAGTAAAAAAGTAACAAAACTGATCCAAATCATGATTTTAATAAGTATAGCTTTCTCTTCTGTAATAGTAATATTGGACTTATTGTTGTTTGAGATTTAATAAAAAAAAAAGAAAAAAARGGTTAAGTATAAATAAAGTATGGCAGTATTAATATACTAATATTATGATAGACATTACATACTACAACTCTTTATTTTGTGCATTTAACTTGGAAATCATYGAGTTAAATATACCTGATGTTRTAATGTAACCTTTTAGCTAGATAGGACGTGTCACACAAAAACACATAAATAATACAAAGTACACTTTAGAAAAATATAATATAAAACGGACAGGTTAAACACTGTTCGTGGATTGTGTACTCATCAACTTCCTCATCAACTTTAGATAACTATTAATAAACACTASTCAGCCTTAAGATGATTTAAAGATGGGTTCTGTTTCTATAAATGTGTATGACATAGTCTTGTTTAGTGGCTATTTGACAAAAACTGAAAATTAGATTACTCAGACAGAAATAACATATTCATAGTATTCAAGTCAGGTTATAGTAAATTAATTTTTTTGTTTGAACAGCTGTGTTCAAAGAACCAAGATCAGAAAAGAAAGATTGTCCCTCAATTGAACAAGCTTAAATCTGGTGTAATATATAGAAATTGCACTTTGGACAACTTAACTCTAATAATGTACTTGGTAATATTATGAAAATGGAAATACTGTCCCTCTGATAAGTGTCAAGAAAACAATAGAACTGAAATATTTGTTGATTCATGATGCTAAAATTCAACCATTTTTAAATATAAATTGTACTAGTTATTTTTGAAGAAATCTTCAGACACTCTGCATGTACAGCTAGGGCCAGAAACATAGCTTGTAACAATTTTGCGTACAGACACAATTTAAGCCATGGGATTAACTTTGGAAAAATACAGCCAAATTAATTAATATAGAACACAAAACAGTTAAGAAAGGAATTTAACTATTTGCCATCTAAGTTGGAATTGTTTGAATATAGCTCACTAAATGGTGTCAATCTAATTTGAAATAACATCATATATAAGTGTAGTTTTTTTCTGTTTATTCTTSTTAGGTGACAAAATATTAAATAATTATTTTAAGATGGTGTTGTAGCATTGTTTACAGACAGAGAAGGAATTAGTCCATGGCATTCTTTACAAAAAGACTTTTAAAAATCTTACACTACTATTAAGAAAATGAAAAAAAAGGCAGAAAAAAAATTAAAAGTGTGTTTGAACAAAGCAGACTGCATGTGTCTTAAAGGGGAAAAATGGTGTCTTGGTATATGCGCAGGTGACAATTGTCTGGTGGTTGGGTTTTGTTCGAATGCAAATGATAATAAAATGCTTGTTTTGGTGAAAAAGAACCATGTGTCCAATGCAAAATGACATGGTCTTCAGACACATACCCACCCACCCACCCACCCACTAACTACGATATACTACCTTTGTCATTAGCTTGCTTTTGAAGGAACTGGATTTCCACTGGGTCATCTCGAAATGTGTGCTCTAGTATAAGTGACAAAAACCTTGCTTGAGTATTCGAAATCCTCTTCAGTAAAGTGTAGAGAGCAATCGTCTGTTCACACTCATTCCAATTCGAAAACCAGTTGACCAACGTACTGACTTGGTCCCGGAATTGTGTATGTGCTGGTTTCATGGCTTTAAAATGGATACACTACCTAAAAATGGGATTAAAATAATGAAAAACATCTAAATAGACACGATAAGTCGTATTATAATACTAGACGGTATGAGCACGTGGACTTCGAACAAAACAAGTTTGAAGTCTCGTCCAACTCAAAACTGTCAAGATATTTTTCATCATACTTTTAATTTTCCACGTGCTCTGTAGAGCTAGTGTTTTGATAGTTAGCTTGTATTATCAATAATAAATAAACTTGTTTACGTATTTTATTGAAGTTTGGCTTTGCAACCGGGGGAGAATTGGTGCACGCAGAAAGGCACATCCAATCGTACACAATTCGACAACGCGACGACAACCAAAATGTATTTCGCTACAAAAAGTACAATTTCAATAAACAATAGCCCAAATTTTGCTCACAGAGAATTCTATGAGCAATTCCAGAGTACAACTCACTGGAAATTAGTTTGAATATGTTAAAACTTAGGCGCGCAAGAAAGAGTTTTCTAGCACTATCTGTGGTCTGAGTGAGAACAACAACAAACATAGAACAGTTCGATTAAACTCCCAACTGATAATTCACCAAATATCAAAAACACAAAAAAGTTGTTTTATTATTTTTACTACGCAATGACTGAGTGTATCTAGACAATCTCTTTTCAAGTCATTTTTCCATAGAATTTGACAAAAAACATCGTAGACTTGGCTGACCCAAGAACGGAAGAGCTAGTGTCACAGTCGCCAGTCAACAACCAATGAAACTAAATCAAACCTTTGCGATTCAAAATAGCCTTCATTAACGAGGGAAAAGTTGTTATAGCTGGCGTAAAAACCCCCCCTACAAAACCTCGAGCTGGCAAAAAAGCAAGTCGATAATATATCTGTACTATACGAAGACGGAAACTCATTCATAGCAGACCATCAAAATGGGTCCCGCTCACCTCTCGGTTCCACTCCAATCTGCGTGTTACTTCGAGGGAAAAAGCCTCCATGAAATACCTTCCAGAAGCGAACCAGCATTCAACATGACCTATTCGTGTCTACAACGTCGGTTCAGGACATATTTGCCTCGAATTTCCCACTATTTTTGACTAGAGACTACATCAAAGTCTCTTGCTAATACCTACAAAACATGCACGGCTCGTCGAACCTTTTCTTAACCAGTCAACCGACCAATACAATGGGAGCCTTTCAATGACGTCATCGAGAGGTCACGTGACTACACCCACGAGGTGTCATTGTTGCACTTATATTTATATTTTTTTAATTGGGTGACTTTAATAATATCCACTTAGATTCCTTTTCTAAGACGAACTGCAGGAGAACAGTATGAATTGAATTGCATACAAATGCTTCTGAGCTCTTAGCACTTTATATGCGTGGGGTGCAGTGTTTCAAGTGAGATTTCCTTTTTCTGTCTTCAGTCCTAAATCCGTCTCAGCTCTATATCGGTACATATAGTATATATAATGTTCGTTTATTTTTAATGACTAAAAACTTTTTTCTTCAACAAAATGACAAAAAGGGATGAATTTTATTTCGATAAAGTTTAGATGTTTTCTTACTTTTATGCTTTGTACAAAAACTCAAAAAAATATTTAAATAATGAGCCATGAGCCATGGCAGTCGTGACACATAAAACAGCTGTAACCGTTTTGAGCTATATCTGTATTCCAATATTTGCTAAACTCTTAAAAGAACAATTCTACTGTAAACCTGACAAAACAATTGAAGTTGGCGTAAACAATAAGGTCAGTAACTAAATTGAGACGAATCACTAAAAAAAAACATCAAAAAGACACCTTTCAGTTGAAACATCATTCCCCCAAAAACTCTCTACTTCTATTTCACAAAGTATCATGTCTGATGTAAACAGTTCTGAAATGTAAAATAATCTTTTCATTCTGCTTAGGAAGAAAGCAGGTAATTCCATGTTTTGTACCCCAGATTTCCATAATGTTTACATTACAATTCCAAAAAATATTTCTCGATAGTCACGTTCCGAGTACTAGACCTCACACTCCTTTGACGTCATAAACACAGCTCCCACGCTTTTCAAGTGTATACACAACATTTTCAGATTTTTTTTTGGCAGTTATGATTCGAAGAGATTTATCTTTTTTCTTAGTAATGATGAATGTGATTATTTCGATTCTCAATTAATTAATACGATTGTGGTTTTGTTTAGTTTAAAAACGTTTAAATTGAGTTAATAACTCGAGTCTGTTTAGGCTAAACTTTGTTATAATTTTACAACGTAAAAGAGGACGATTGACACAAAGTTTAATAGAATTTCMAATACAGGGGATAAAGTACAAATATAATGTTATATACTTTACATTTTTAGTTGTATTTCTAGCTTGACGCTCTTAGAGAGTTTACTCGTGCTATACAGAGTTATCCAATTTTGTTTTTATTGTAAAAATTCCGCCATCAAAAAGAGACAAAAGAAAAAGATCGAATTCAACTCTTKTGGATGGCAAATGGAGGGCAAAAATAGCCATGATTTAAGTTTTCATGTGGGGGTGTTTTTATCCTACATGCCATCACTCAGATTGAGGCGACACAAATCCTTATGGCAAAGCTGACACTGAGAAATACTGCGGGGCACATCAAATGGTGTGGCTTCAAGGTTATTGATCAATCAGGCTATCATAAGAGTAGCAAAGCAGTAATACCACACACATCTATAAGTTTTGTGACTGAGTGTCTAACCTAAGAAATTTCAAAATATTTTGCGCTTTGATAAACCATGTAATAAAAAGCTTCTAGAAAAAATACAATTAGTATTACAAGTGGCAAAGGATACTGAAAAAGCAGTCACACACGCGCGCATTATTATTATTATCATATTAATATTAGTAGTATTTGATGCSTTTCCCAGTCTTTAGCTCTTTAACACGTAATATACATAAGCATACTATTTATCAAGTTATGTGGCTCAAAGCCGAGTTAGGAAAATCGTTAGTGGTGTGTAATTATTTGCTTCAAAAAAAGGGGGAAGTCCGCCGGCTACGCGCAGCCTACGTAAATTTTCATTGATTGATTTGTATCTACAAGGTAGGCCAAATTTAAACTTCCGTAGATAGTTTTCATCAGTGATTCCACGCCTTTTGAAAGCTGTCAATCAAACCAACATATCGTTGTGTACGGATTCGCATACTAGCTATTTGAGATTTTCCTGCATTTGTGATTTTTGTTGAGTTAAAGTACGTTTTTCTGTTGTGGTGGCCATGAAAATCACCAATAATCATTTTGATAAGCGACCGTCTGACATATGCGTTTTTAACCCCGTTTGTTAGCCAAACCTCGTTTAAGGCCCTTGTGTGACAATGGCGTTGCTACACATCGCCAAGGCGTGTAAGAACGATCAAAAAACTAATCACATTATATGGACAGGGCCTTGATCTTACCGGATTTTAGACAATGCCATATCCAAAGATTCTTTCATATCAATAATAARCTTATTCGTGATCTCCAACTATATATATCGCCCTCCTATTTAAAGACCGCTGACGGCTATTAAAATTGATACCAATCCCACCTTGCAGCATATTAATTACTACTTAATGAATATACAACAATAGGAAACTGACTTCCTGTATTTGTTGCGTGGGTCGGGTGTGTTGTGCACATGCTTAATYGAATCATAAAATAATGACTCGCCTACACGTCTTAATCTACTCAAGGAGAAAATAATCTATTTCGGATATTGGATTACGCATATGTGCGGACTACCTGTGTGAGACAGATAGGTTTTATGAGGATTGTCAACAGTCAACATCGTTCCTCCAATAGTGARGGGACAAGAGACTGGGAACGAGGTTGTTGTGCTGTCTTAGTATTGTCATTAAGAATGATTCAGAGAAATTATTACCATATTATTAACCATATTGATATAATATTCCTTTTCAGTTGCACTGCTATATGTATCGATTCTAGGGCGGTTTGCTCAAAGATCCGGTTATCGTTAATCCAGGGTCTTCATAGTTTTTTAGCGTTAACTCAGGATTAGAGCATAAAGAGCCCAATGTATATCAGCGATAACATCCCTTGTTTCCAATCTATATATAGTTGCCGCATTTGGTTCAATTGCCTAGTCTATTCAGCCTTTAAATAATCACTTGTGAACAKTCTAGAAATAATTTAAAGCCCACACTACAAAATAAGACAAAACAAAACAAACCATTGTAAAATACTTCCTTGGGGGGATCCTATAGGGGGTTGTCATACCGCAGATCCGCTAATTTTTCCGTCAACCGCTTCTAAAAAAATTGATTAACTATATCTGTTACCTTTCGATGGTTTCCTTATTGAATTTATACCATAATCTGAACATAAAAGTRTGTGTTGAATTGAACCGTAACTAGCAGTGTTGCAAAATCGGCGATTTTTCGCAACTAAATGGTATCTTCACAACCGTAAACCGCAACAAAAATAAGAGCAATACCGAATGAAACCGACCTCTAAAATCACTAGAAGAAACCGTTAAACCGCCAAACTATAATAGGACCCCATCCTTTGATCCACGCAAAAAAAAAAGAGATCACTTCCAACAAAACGTTAGGCTTATTCATAGTATGATTATATCGTATAGATCTAGAAAATTCTGTTGTAATCACTGRATAAACACAAAGTGAGGTATACTTACGTGGTTAAAATAAAAATGCATGATATCCACAAGATATTAAACTTCCAGTGGGAGTAGCACTGTAGTGTTCCGGCCTTCATTGATGATGCACTTACTTACAAACGTTCAAGTCTTATAGGTTCGCTTTCCCAAATTTCCATATACATTTAGGCCCGGTCGTACGCGAAACCACCGAATAGTTAACCGTATCGGATATGTTTTGAAAAGAAAACGATGTTGTTTTTGTGTCACACATTCAACAGTGGTTAGGAGAGTTTTGAAATAGTGTTGGTAGCCAAACAACAGCTTGTAACAACATTAGAATTGACTAGTTTTAAGAAATATGTATCTTTAGATTTGGTTAAGCATGAGTTCAATGTTGCTAGAGCCATTTATATCAGGACCCTTTTTTCAACCTAACATAAAATAACCGCTGATATATGAATCGAACCTACAATTGTAGATACATTTTCTGTGTATTTATAATTTACCACTAATATATTGATTTTCAGTGGAACCTTCAGTGAGGTTTTGCAGAAGGTACACGTAATTAAGTTATATTTTTTATTTTATTTTTTTGTGCGATCCCTTATTTTAAAGAATTGGAGGGGACTAGGACAAATTCATATGTTGAAAAGAAATTTCTCTGCAAATTCTGTACATTTTGGCCATTATAAGGCACTAAAAGGTGGAACAAAAGCAAGAAAAAACTTTCTAACATGAGATTTGGATTACCACGATGTATCTGACTCGTCCCCAGTCGCCCTCTTCTATCTTGCGCGAACGAAGCTTTTCGAGACACTAGAAAAATGCCGCGATAGACGACTGGGGACGAGTCAGACGATATATGGTCAGCAAAAGTTTGGCAAACGACTCATAAATTTTTCTCCGAAGTAATTGTCTTTACCAGGCAATTAGGACCTACTACTGGCCCCTAAATACGATTTAGAACAACTTGATGTTTTGACTATAATTCACTTGCAGAATAGTTAAGTCATGAGACAAAACATACTAACCAGTGACGCCCGGTTCCATGCAACTGATTATAGATCTTAAGTGAAAGACACAGTACAGCTAGCTAGAATGTGATTTGTCAGTGCATCATTTCGACTTGGCCAAAAAACTTCATTGACTCTTAATATGTATATTCTTTCGGTGCCTGCGTTTTGCTTTTATATGATGGACATATGGATTGTTGTATGTTATTGCAGAGTCAGTGGGTGTTTCATGTTTTTGCGATCAATAGCTCCCTAACGCCCCAAACACCATAAAGTTGTCGTTGTCATGGCGATACGGCTCCATATGACGTAAGCCTCGAGTGAGTTCATGTGAGAAACAGAAGGCGATTAGCTCTTAGAACAAAGCGACTTGTTAAAAGACACTCTGAATATGAGTGGAACATTAACATAAGAATAAGTTTGTTGATAAACATTGGTATCGTTATAGCACACATGAAGGATATAGATCCTATAAATGAAGACATTTACCTCAGCTAATCATTTAATCTGTTATCCCCTACAGTTTTCAAGTCACTTGTAAACAACACTAAACGCTACAGGAAGCAAATTAACATGAATTTAAGGGCGGTGCTCTCCAGCCGTTCACGCCTCTCTCTCCGACGTCACAGTTTTGGGGGTGGAAGCGGAATCATGCTTCTAAATTATTGAGAAATCATGAATGTTAGCGCAAAAACAACAACAAGAAAAACAAAAAACAGAAAAACAAAAACAAAACAAAAAAACAGGGAATCAGGAATATTTGTTTCTTTAATTCTCACATAGTGGATCATGAATCATGGAAATAAGTTTTAATTCGGATGTTAATGTTTTGGAATCAGGAATAACTGGATTAAAACTTGATCGTTTCTTGAAAATTCCGCTTACGTCACAGTTCTTATGGCCACTCATACAGGCAAAACTAAACAATATCAAAAACCAAGTTGATTTAGTGGTTTCGATTTAGCTAGGTTGATCCTAAGTCTTGGAATATAATCCACTATACAAAAAATTATGTATACAAACGAGCGTAAATACCCAAAGTTTTCTGGGGATTGAATATATACCACTACCATATCGTAACTGATTAAGCGGTCCTGCTAGAAACGTCGGCCTAAACTCCCTCGGATCGGAGCGGCTATACCAATGACAACACTGCATCACACGCATGCTCTATGATATAGATACAAGAATACAACAATGGTATTCTCTAGAGAATTTGACTGCTAAAAAAAGAAAATGACCTCTAAAAGCGGAAAAAACTAGAAGACTGATATTATTGATTTTCCTTCATAAAAGGGAAGATATTCTAAAAGAATTAGGTATTATAGGCCGCAATGAAATAGTGTTTTCAATGATGATTAAAGTATTACAACACAAAATGCGAACCTTCCATAGCGACACTACTATAGCGAAATCTGAATCTTATCAGTTTAATACGAAAAGTTACGAAGTTCTGTTTCGACGCTTGATGATTGAAAGGAAGTTGTTTTTCTTTGTCTGTTTTTTTTTTGTCTTTAATAGGACTTTTGCATGAAATGGTCACATGGTACAAAATCCGCCATACTGGATGACAAAAGAATGTAAACAAAACTCAAAACAAAAGGAACGCAACCTTTAAGCTTGACCTTCCTCAGTTTCGAACATCCTAGGGGGTTTGGTGGATTTACAGTACCATGTGACCGTTTCATCCAAAAGTCCTATTTGCTCCTATTTTGTTTTTTAAAAGTGTAAATTTCTATGGATTATGTCGATGGGCGCTTGAATTCATTCCTATATTTTTTTCTTTTGTTTTCAACTTCTGATTCTGATTCTGCTAATGTTGCTGATCACAGACTTACGCAATGAATCGAGTGATCGATCCACAATGCTATGGTAAGGAAATATGTTTTCCATTGAACGAAAGAGGAACTTATATAAGCATTATCTATCTTCTGTCCACGGTCTGTACAGCTTTCACAGTAAGAATGTGCTGCCAGTTGCATGGATGCGCACGCTTTAATTTCTGTCAGCAACCTCTTTAAGCCATGTCTACACGAGTAATAGACCACTGAACCTTTTACGTCGCTACTTGATTTTCAATGCATTGTGGGATCAATTTCAAGAGAAAACAAAAGAAATCCGCCATGTTCTGTCCCAAACATATATCCTACAATGCATTGCGTATACGGTACATGACGTAAAAGCCGCAGAGGTCTATTTTTATGTGACAACTATATGTGCCAATTTTATGTGACGCTCGTCCACACGGGCAATTTCGATATGTGACAATTTTTAGTTGTCACATAAAAACTAGCATGCCAGCTTTCCAGCAACTACAGTTGTCACATAAAAATTGACCAATTTTGCTCATCTACACGGGGCAATTAAAAATTGCCACATAAAAATTGCTCGTGTTGACGGAGCTTTAATCTCGTTAAAAATGAACCAGATTTTCTACTCATGATTTAATTAATGTTATCATACTTCTCTCTTTCGAAGAGGTTTTTCTCTATATTTTTTCGTTAAAAAAGGTATTTTACGACATAATTTGATTTCAAATAGGGGATATTACATCGGTYGCTTGGAGATACAAATGTTATCTTCTCGTGTTGAAAATCTTTTCAACACCTTGAAGATAAATTGCGTATCTCCGCGCACCAATGTAATATCCCCTATTTATCATATATTTATCATTTTAATTAATATCATCACTATGACGGGAAGCCTTAGTCCCCGTATGTTAATACAAATATAAAACATTAATAACTCTTAAATATTATTATTATAATATTATGATATTTTTTTACTTTTATTAAAAAAAATGACAGAAATCTTTAGATATCGAACTTTAAAGTCGGCCACGAGTTAGCTCCCATCATGCATTTCGGCGTTTAGATTACAGAACCGTGATGAGGTAGTAAATATCCTATAATCAGTTTATAACTAACAGTTTCAAAGATCATGACTGTTTCAAACGTCCGTTATAACATGGTTTGCAAATTAAAAATTAAAAGTTAATTGCCTTTTTTCCGAACAGTCATATATTAATTGAGAAAGGCCCTCGCAAACGCACAAGGCATCATCCACCGCGCTCGAATGCGAACAAGATCGTATGGATTACTAGTGATATTCTAAGTCAGTGTTTTCCCGGAATTGCTAAGATAGTCGCTAGTTTACTCTAGCTTTTTTTAAATTGACAACACTTACCTCAGTTCATAAGGAACCTGTTGACGTATCAATTCAGTGTAACGGTGTACTAAGCTACGCTGATCAAATTGACTAAAACTCACTTTCCGTTTCACCAGATCACATTCAAAACTGATTCAGTAAACATTATAATCCCAATCGAAATTCATCGACATAAAGGGTTTTCCCCTCGTGAGCTCTAGTCATCTGCGATCGATATCCTTTGTCCAAATGTTTGTATATTTTTTTTTTCTTCTAAAAAACAGATGTTCAAACCATGATGCATGTTGTCGCCGCGTAATCATTTATCTTCCAGTGTGGGCTTGAAGGATTTCACCCACTCGGACTAAAAATAAAGTTACTATCGCCGATAATAATTGCCAAATCACTGCACCACGCCGTTATGAAATGGACTGTGCTATTCGCATGTCTTATGCCAAAATAAGTATACCTTATTATCGCTTATATACGGGTATTTCTTCATTTAATTGTAGGGCTGAATACTGCGAATACAGTCAAACTAGATGCATTACAATAACGACTACGATCCAAACTGTAATCATCTATTACATGTATATGATTGTGTCATAAGATAAAAATAGTGATGATTTAGAGAAAATATGCTTTTTTTTTCAAGTCAACACTATCTGTTTTGCCATCGGCAGACACAATCATTTCGCAACTTTCATAAGTACATAATTCAAATTTAGCTTATAGAAGATCCGTTATTTGACAATCACAGCCAAGAAATAATATTTGCAGCTCTTTCGAATGACTTCCTTCGGTCGACCAGAATCTCCCCGTTATTGGGTTTCATTTTGCAAAACGTTTTTCAATTCGACAGAAATTGATTACATTACTCGTTTGACGTCATTGTGACGTCAATGAGAAATTTCCAAGCTATCCAAATACGTCTTATTTTAGACTTCCATTCGAAAAAGCTCAATCTCATTTCGAAAATCGCGTGGGCGGTTTAAAAACGCGCACTTAAATTGCATAAAATCTTTCTTCCAGCCTTGAAATTTGTCATATTATTAAAGTTTATAAATAAAACTTGCATTTTATAGGCTGTTCAAATTCAGTTAAAAGTTGCAAATGTAAATACAGATCTGACATAGTCTAATATTGATTTTCCCAGCACGGTATATTATGCAATGTTTTAGGGAGAACGAAAGTACTCAGTCGTCACTGGATGAATTAGTTTTATCACTGTCGTGCTACAACGACTTTCGCCTAAAACAACGAAAGTAAAAAATAAAAAATAAATAACACCGAATTTTTTTTTCATATCCAAACAACACTAAATACATTATTGTAGGAATTTAATTGGGTCTCAAGCGAGTGATCAAAAAATCATCCAACTTTGAAATCCGCAACTTTTCGCTTTCAATGATGCAGCAGTTTCGCCTCTCACTTTCTGCTAATCTGGTCAACTAGATTTTTGATCCCCAAGAGTAACGGTATCAAATATGATTCCTTTTTTATAGGTGAAGAAGGATTATTGTTTTAAGCTGTAGAAACGACAGCAAAATGATTACATATTGAAATTGTGCATAAGGAAATACAATTGAAAATATTTAGCGAAATTATGTTAGTGTATGATGAAGTATATGATTGAATTTTAGCGCCCTTTTGAATCAAGCTCTAGCATTCGCATGAAAATCAAAAGTTTATATCCCAAATCATCGCGTATTAATGAGAATAATGGACTAAATTTATCATCATTATCTGTAAATTCAATTTTGATCTCAGCCTACAGTAGAATGAAACCGTTGCAAAGTACAGTGTTATATATATATGTGCCAAGTCAGGCGATTCGGGCTGGAAAACGACCATATGCTAATGCAAACTCTTCGCCATGTTCTTTACTATTTACTATCGTTGCTATTCCTCAGTTTTTTGACCATGTAGACGCGCGCTGAGCCAAAACCATTGCATTTATAAAATTTTAGTACAGTGTATCAGATAACCGATAACTTTACAATTTGGTATCTTTGCATGTTTGCTTCTGCGCGAGTGAAGATCGGTGCAAGACTCAAACATGCGAAGAAAGTAATCCCGAACAGGATTTCCTAATCTCTGCAAGCATTTTCCACAAATTTCACTTGTTGTTCTAATAGAGTCGATTATCACGCGATGAATAATGCGAAAAAATCATTCCACTCGGTACTTACCACAAATGACCACAGCAAAACAACGGTAATCTTGTCGTTTTTCTAATGGTAAAGCATTTTTCAATCATGAAAATCACCGGTAGTCTAACATCTTTTTTATGCACGAGAAGCAACCCGGTTCAATATCCTATTATGCAGTAACTTTCGCACTCAAAGTCAAGTCGGTTCCAAAAACAATAAATCCTCCTCGTGACGTCATACGTACAAATCCGCAGGGTATCGGGGAGATGACGTGCAGTTTCATATTCGTACATGCGGAGATTATAACGCCGGTTGCTTCATGAATATTCAAAAAGTTCCAAAATTAGATAATTAACTTGATTCATTTAGTAGCTATATAAGAGTGTAAAGCAAAGATATTTTGCTTTTGCTTTCAAGTAAAATGAGCGGATAATAATAATAATGATGATAATGATGCTATTTCTATAGCGCTTATCCAATTCTGTTCTAAGCGCTTTAAAACTACATGACAACTGCAAAACACATGAGAGTCTTGGTAGACTGTGAGCTTGATAAAACAATGCGCAATTTTTAAATCAAGACGAATTAATTTTCAGTTCTTTAATGTTGTAATTTGTCAAAAATTGAGGTCGCGGACTGAAGGTAGATTAGTTGACGGTTTTGGCGGGGAAATTACGAGAACAAATAAACAAATGAAATATTTAAAGGAATCACGGGGACACTTTACCTCAATTATTTTACTCTTCCCGAGCTTTCAATTACACCTTTCAAAGAAAATTAAGGTTTTTAATGAAATAATGTTGAATTAATATTTTAATCAAAAAAGCAATAAATTAGCGCAAAAATTGTATCGTCAGCAGCTGTACTCATAAAAACATGCGCACTATAATTTTGCGCAGAATTCAAGATGGCGGCGCACATGGAGTTTTTGTGTTCTTTTTATTCCTAAATTTATTTTCTTAAACCTCACGAATCTATTGAAGATTGTTATTAACTTTTTCGAAATCACAATGAGCTTATTTGGGCGTTTCGCTAGGACATTTTTGCAAAATGTCAACAAGAGAACGTTGCTCCCTCTCCGTCCTCAGGTAATTTTGTGGTTTGCTGAGAATATTTTTGAATTGTATTGTCAAAGAACAAGTTTACATGTTGTTGTTTTTAGATGGCAATTCGGTTTGTTCACCGTCCAGTGGCCCTTTCTCCTGCTCCAGCACCGATTGTCCCGAATATCGAAGATCTGCCTCAATTTGGTGAGTAATTATATAGCCACATATTAATCCCAAATAGGTAAAAGCTGGATTTTTCGTTAATTTTGGAATCCTGTCCAATTAAGAAATTAATTGGACAGGTTTTCAATTGGGTTTTTTTTTGTTTTTTTGTTACTGATATAAATAAAAGTTAATTTTTGTTAAAAATGAAGGTGTCATTACTGTTATTGTTAAAAGCTGTGGTTGGCTTTTACCTATTTGGGATCAATATGTGGCTATATAATAAATAGGTAATAAGACTCCATGCTGTCCAATTAAGAAATAATTAGACTCGATAAATTCCTCTGACTGCCAAATTGGACTCGGCCACGGCCTCGTCCAATTTTTGGCAGTCCTCGGAATTTTCCTCGTCCAATTATTTCTTAATTGGACAGCATGGAGTCCTATTACATATAAAAATATTGACGTAATTTCGCCATTTCGCACAGAGTAAGCTCATTGATTAAACTCACTTTATTTTATTGTTACTTTAAAGGTACCTTCAGCCCTTCTGTCTGTCAGTTTATAGCTGAAAGGCAGCACGAAAATAGCAACTCTAGGATCAAATCATGGGTGACAAGACTAGCTGATGAAAAACCAGTTGGTTTAATTGACTTGAATGAGTTTGTATTCGGAGAGAATCCAAGGTACATAGCAATCAAATATGAATTTTATAAAGTAACTATTATATAATGAGTGCCTTGATTGGTTGAAATGTGCAAAAAAACTTGTTTCTATGAGAGCTTCCTTATGTTCTCCCAACAATCTGCCGTGTAGACTGCTGAATGTTCGATTAACAGGGTTCGTACAGTCTTGAAAAGTCCTTGATTTTTGAGCTAGGTCCTTGAAGAGTCCTTGATTGCAAATTTTCCTTGAAAAGTCCTTGAATTTGGAGAAAAATCCTTGAAAATGATCATTTAGTCCTTGAATCAGTCCTGATTGTTCTAAAGTAATGTAAATGTAATGTATTGCAAGTAATGCAAAATGCGGGAGACTCCCGGTTTCAGATCGAATCTCCCGGTCTCAATATTTTAGCCCTAAATCTCCCGGATACGCACGATATTTTCATAGAATGATATTAATTACTAATATAACCATCATTGTAGATTTTTATTTTCAAAGAAAACCTTCAATGAATTATGTCATGTTTCCTCGATCTTTCGATACGGAACGAAATACCTACAGGCRTTGYTTACGTATACTCGCGCATGAAAAATATATAAACTGATTATGCAACGTTATTTGTRACGTCATTCACATGGTGTGACGTCATACACATAATCGAGGCAATTTCTCCAGATATATAAAGCTCTGGGGTTGACATCCCTGAAATGACAAGTATTCAATCCTTTGCGAACTTGCTGTACTATTGTCCAATATGGCAGCCAAGAAATGAATAGAGGTCAAGGAAAATCTTTTGCAAAAGAAAAAGTTCTTAAAGAAATTGACTGCAGTGTTAGTAAGTTTACTAACTGTATTTTTCTCTTTGTAATTGGAGTCCTTGAATATTGAAAATTAATCCTTAAAAGGTCCTTGAAAAGTCCTTCAAAAACTCATTAATTATTCATGAGGTATTCAGCCAATCCCTGATTGTAATTTGTAYCACRTGAAGTARHTTGAAACCAGAGGAAGTACTCGTACCTTGTATTCTACCTTATTTCCAGTTACTTCTACCTTTTTCAAGGTTACTTCTACATTATTTCCAGTTATTTCTACCTTATTTCCAGTTACTTCTACCATGTTTCCAACTACTACTAGCTAATGATAATCAAATTATTGGAAATAATCAGTTTAACATTAATTTAGTGAAAAAAGGTCTTTGATACATGACTCCTTCACGACTCGATCCCCTACCGTCCAGTCTATATTCGCCGTCTTATACCATTACACCACCGAGTTTCTGATGCGATTCCTCGGAAGATAACATACTTATAAATCTTATGGATTAGGCTCATTAGGAATRCCATGAATAGCAGACAAAGACAATTTGAATAGCTTTTGTTTCAGAAAGCCTTCCGGGAATTGAAGAAAAACAAACGGTGCTTCATGTATTCAAAATTATGAAAACTGAAAACCTTAGTGGAGATGCAATAAATCAATATATTTCTGTTATATGTATTTCCTTCGCTTTTTTTCCCTCCCGAATAATTAATGAGTTTTTGAAGTCGTTCAAAGGCCTCCAATTCGGACTTGACGGGATTTCAAAGTCCTTGCAATTAGTTCCAGTCCTCGGCTARMGCCTCGGAMTGGAACTAATTGCGCGGACTTTGAAACCCTGTCAAGTCCTCATTGTCGGCCTTTAAACATTACTTGAATTTTGTATAAACAAATCTGTACGAACCCTGATTAAAATTAAATATAAAGTTCTTGAGTTCGGAAGGTCAATTTATAAGAGCTAATGCTGCTTTTTTGCTTGTAGAATTGATATATTGCATAGGGTTGTAGTATGGCAACGAGCCAAACGCCGAGCAGTAAGTATAAAGCTGTTATAGATATTTCAATCTCATCTTAAATACACGAAGTTTAAGTAAGGGTTTGTGTCAAGTAATGCTCTAACGGAAAAACGGTTATAATCAAGCGGTTGTTATTTATTCTTAATGAGGTGTACTATATTGGTTTTACTACCAGGTGGGTTTCTACGACTGTGCTTGTTATTCACACCATTGAGCAGTCTGCTCTAATTGTGTTTTAAATGTATAATTGTGATGATATTTTGTCATTTCAGGGAACTGCTTGTGTGAAAGGACGGAGTGAAGTCAGAGGTGGCGGAAGAAAACCATGGCCCCAGAAAGGACATGGTAGAGCACGACAAGGAAGCATCAGAGCACCGCAATTTAGAGGAGGTACAGTATACATTTGATCAATCGATAAAACACAGCAAGCAAAGTCTTTTGGTTGCATTTCTAAAGGACAAATGATACTTCCAAGGTTTTCTGTTACAAAACATCTTCTTTATCAATATTGTTGGTGTCAGTATTACAGTAGATCGTTGGATAAGAATATTTTTTTTTATCAGGTGGAGTTGTTCATGGACCTAAACCAAAAAGTTATGCATATACTTTACCAAAGAAAGTCAGAAGGATGGGACTAAGAGTTGCTCTCTCTGTGAGATATGCACAGGTATGGGTCATAATTTTCATAGATTTTATTTATCAGCTTTTTCCTAGTCTCTTTAGCGGGCATTGCTGGCCAACTGTGGATTTAGGAGACCTGCTAGATTAAGGAGACTATCTAGGCACTCTAGCTGTTATCGACAGTGTCTCATGTGCAATTCTGGCCTTTTGCTAGCATGAAACTGGTGTCTATTTTTCATTATTTGAATTAATGCTCTCAATCTTATCAATAAGGGAGATCTTCATATTGTTGAGTCTTTTGAAGACATTGAAGATGAAAAGGTATGTTGAAGCACCCATTGTTGCTAATGTGAGTATTGGTAATAATATTAATCTCACAAATCGTTTCAGGATTTAATTCCCATTCTTGACAAAAGAGGATGGAAATCTGCTGTTTTAGTTGATAGGTAAGATTCATTGTACTTTGAAAATATCATTTGTTGTACAGAAGAGTGCGTTCAATAAAAGTGTTAAATACACATGACATATTATAGCATAGTACTTTTTATAAATCTGTGGCATAAAACATGACACACAAAAGACAATGAAAAGAGTAAGTACAGTATTACTCTTTCATTTTACATTTGTATTTCTTTGTCTCTTTGGTGTAACACATTTTTGTTTCCAAGATTTATGAAAACCACTGCAATTTTTTATTAAGATGTTTTTCAAACTTCTAGAGTAGATGCACTAAATATGTGAAACAGCTGTTGACTACTATAATGCTCAATGATGGAACAATAAAAAGAAAAGGATTTTACATTGTTTAGCACTTTTTTGTTGTTCAGTTTATTTGTTTCACTGATCAGGAGTTCAATTATTATTCATTTGACTTGCAGTGTACCTAATCCCAGTCTTATTGGTGCCAGTGAAGATCTTGAAAAAATCGATGTCTTCTATAGTGAAAGTAAGCTTCTTGTATTTTGTTAGATATTTCTAGTAATTGAAAAATGGTGGACTACTTTAAATGTTCCAAACTGAACATCTCTACTTTCTACTATACATGAAGACTAAACGTTGATTTACACGGTGCGATCTGTCGCGCGCGACTTGTAGTATACGATTTTCCTACGACAAGTGGTTCAAAGTCCTACTACAAGTCGTAGGTTGCGTACGACTGTTGTAGACAAGTCGTAGGGGCATTTACACTGCGCGATTCAAGTCGTATACTACAAATCGCACGAGACAATCGTGCCGTGTAAATCAGCCTTAATCAATCAAGAATATCATTCAAATTGGTCCATCATTTTGCAATTTGGTCTATGCTAGGCTCATTTTTTCTTGTGTCTCAGTGTAATGGCTTCTCTTTTCATTTTTAGATGTAAATGTGTACAGTATTTTATTAAGACATAACTTAGTTCTATCGCTCGATGCTGTTAAACAACTGGAAGAGAGATTGGTGGAAGATGATCGGATAATTCAAAACCACTTTGAATAAATGCATTTGTAAAAAAAGATCTTTATTAATAATAAAATATAGAAAATGGCTGATTCTACTGTACATGTAGTTTAAGTCACAAGTATTGTTGTTTTGTAATTTAATATATTACAATACAAATTTGAAGTTTTTTGTGTAAGGATCATGTCATAAACCTGGAAGTCCATTTTTTGGTGTCTGTGTGACAGTCAAAATGCTGTTGTTGTTGTTTCTTTTTTCTTTTTGCTAAAAATACAGTTATTGATAGTTTTTTTTTTTTGCTAAAAATATCATACCTACTGTCACACGGGTTAATGAAATCTGCCTTAGAATACACAGCTTTTATCCAGGGAGCTGTTTTGCGTTGGTTTACTGTAGTTTTAACATTACTTATTATTATCAGAGTGCAACTGATAGTGAACAGTGTTTATGAGGTTTCTGACTGGAAAATTGTTCTGAATCTTACATTGCAAATCTTGATTCACACACCATTTAAAATGTGAAAATTGTAAAATTTTTGAGTGATGCAAAATATTTATGCCTTTGCAAGATTAGTTCTGACTTCCCAACGAAGTGATTGTCTCTTCTTTTCTGTTGGGACTACATAGTTGTTGGGTATAAATCTTCTTTGAGGATGCTAGGAGGAAGAGTTAGTGACAAAAAGATTAATATACTACAGTTTCAAAATTAATGGATACACATTCACTGTTTTAGATTGTATGACAATTAAAACTACCGACCTCAAATACATCGCATTGCAGGAGTTGACCCTAAAAATGTAGAAAAGCAATTAAATTGATTGTATTGTAAATTTTTGCGTGGTCAGATTTTATGGTCAGATTTTTATAAGCAAGATATAACATACCCCATATGAAATAGTCTAAATGCAAAAACAAAAATGGAATATTTTATTTTACAGCTAAATAGCAATTGGCAATTATTTACATTGTACATACCCTAACATTCCATCGGAGTGAGTTTCGATTCTTTTCTCCTGGTACTTTATTATTCTGCCATTCACGACTGAACTGACGATATCTGAAGGAACAATTTGTGAGTGGAATAAACAAAACATTTTACAGTAGTGGGACCAAGTACATTGCATTACCTGTTTACTGGGTCGCATTTCTTTAGTCTTCTGGTGTGGGGGTGAGAGGTATTTGGTCGTATATCTGCAACAATTCAAGAAAACATTCATTTTTAAAACTTCCCTTCTTGCAGAGTCTCTCAGTAGTTGCCAACAGAACTCATCAGGAACTACATGTACAATGTGAGAGACTTGGCTAGTAGCGAATCAAAACACTAAATGGCGCAGTTCTCTGCATGTTGTTCTAGTACCAGGAACTTGAGGTAATCCTTTCACAGACTGAAAGATACAGTTGACTCTCTTTGAAAGACCACTCTCGTAAGCGACCATAACCTGTATGTGACCACCTTTTAAATTTTCCGTTATAATTGTTTCCCATATAAACTCTGTAAAAAAGCTCTCTCGTAAGCGACCATCTCTCGTAAGTGACCACTTTTTCCTGGTCGCTTACGAGAGAGTTGACTGTAGTTTGAGCTCGACTTACAAGAAGGAAGGACACCCCCAGCACSGTGCTTGTCCCACGGCCGATAGTCCAATGGCTCCTGTAATAGTGAATCATCCTCAACATCATATCTTAAATCCTGCAAAGGGAGGTCTCTCAGTTGCTGTTCAATGTCTGATATATCTGTGACAACTGACCCTAGAAAACAGTTTCAAATGATAAAAAGTACATTCACAAATATTTATATCATATGCCTGATCAAAACCACCAACGACACACAATCTAAACCAACCTGAATCAGATGAAGTAAATGACTCATCAAACACTCTTGATTCACCATGTTTTCTCCGTAGGACTTTCCTCTTTGTCTTAGTCCTATGTCCTGATCTGTCTATTGATGTGTTGTCTGATGAAGGGGTTTCAATCTCTCTGATGGTGTATAAGTTGTTCTCTTTGCCATATGGAATATGACTAAGCTATAAATGATAAAAACGTTTAAAATATTATTTTCTATGGTTATTACAATTTAATTGCGTATGAGCTGCAAACTATGGTCCTTTTTGCCCTGTGTATAAAACATGGTCTGACACAAGACATGCTAGTATCCCAATTGCCTGAAATAGTCAATGCTTATGACATTTGGAGAGTGACATACATACCCCTCTTTTAGGCTTTCCTGCAACATATCTCTTGGGTGCTGTGTGTGGTCTTTCATCTACAATATTACGTACATGTATTCAGATTACTAGTGAATGATTTATGTTTGTAATTCTCATCATCACCATGCAAGGACAGCCTATACCTTGCTTGACTTCAAAAAAAAGTTTTTTCTACATATACCATTAGGCGGCTACGTTTACATGGTCATGTCACAGGCTTACCAGTCTCTGAGGAGTTACGGGAGATGGGCTACCTGTGGCGACAAACTTAACGGATTTTCACATGTAGTCAAAATATCGTTTCGAAACCGTATCTTTTCATTCTTGAAATATCAAAAAACTTCAATTAAGATGGTTCAATAGTTTATGAACATTTTTGGAGGGGTTATTTTCGATTTTGATGCTGTTTTAGTGTGTTTTGGGAGGGTTAGATTTCGACCTTCTCCAGAGTGAAGAGAAAAGGGTTAAAGGCTGGCAGCCGATCGCTCTCGGTCAGCCAACTGGTCAACTTCAACGCCGAATTTTTCCACCTTACGCCGGTCCTACAAAATCAAGCTTTTGGTATGCTGCAGGATAATAATTTTCCTACATCCTCGCCAAATTTCAGCTTCCAACGACCAATATCAACTGAGAAAATCGACCGCGAAGGTCAAAAATCCACCTTGTAAATATGATATGCACAAATTTTGAACTCAAAGGAATGTGG